CCATGCCGGGGGGCGCGGTGACCGCTTGCCCATTGCGGCGCGGGCTTCGCAGCGCGGGGGCGAGGGGCCCGGGTTGAAGCGCGACCGCCCGCGCCTGGCCCCGTCGAGCCTAGGGGCCCGCAGCGCGCGTCGCAGTTCCGGGGGGGAGTTGCGAGCGCGCCCTTGTCTGGACGGGGCAAGTTGCCCAGCAGACACTTAATTGGGGGGTGCGCTATTATATGTGGAGGGCTGTCAAAGAAGACGTTTCCAGGGGTCAGGCTGGGATGAGACGACCCACTTCTCGGCAAGCGCGCTTGCGCGCGCGCGGGCGCGCGGGCATTCGGAGCGCCCTCCGCCTCGTCAGGACTGGCAAGGATCAGCAGAGTGCTGCTTGCCCATCCCCTTCCCCGCATTCCTCTTCCTGGCTCGCCTCTGCCCCCGTCGAGTCTCGGGTCGGGCCAGCCCCTGAGTTGGCGCAGAGATGTGAGAGGGGGGCTTCTGCGCGAGGAAGTCGAGAGGCATGGGCGGCGCAGCCCGGCGGTGCCCTTCCTTTTTCCTGTGGAGGGGGCCGGGGAATGTGCTCGGCGACGAATCGGCGAGCGCGAATGGCCGTTGCACCTCGCCTCCTTCGTCTTTGCCCCCGCTGCCCTCCTGCGCGACGCTCGGGCCGGGCGAAAGGGGGGGATTGGGAAAGGGGGGTTACGACATTTGCTGCATGCAGCTGGTTTCGGCCTCGCCGACGGGGCCCATTCCACGATGCATGGCCGCCTCCCGGCGCCGGGGGGCGCCGGGGGGCGCCGGGAGAATCAGCCACGCGAGCTGATTCTCAACCCCCCCCTTTGCTATCCCCCCCCTTCGCCCGACCCGAGACGCCGCCGGCGCCGAGCGCGCCGAATTTCTCCAGGAGTGGGCGAGACAGGTGCGCGTTTCCATGGGCGCGGAAATTTGCGGGGGCATTCGGAGAGAGCAGGGGGTCGCGTTTCGGCGCCCTGGGAAGAAGAACGCGCCTTTCTCTCGCCAGCGAAGCCAGGCGCAGTTGGGAAGCTGCCCGCCCCCGCGCCCGCGGGCGCCAGTTCGTCGCGGGCCCGTTTTGCCGCTCGAGAGCAGGGGCGACGCGCGGGCGCCGACGCGCCCCGCAGAGAGCGCGGCGCCCCTGAGGCTTGGTCCTTCGCCTGGGGTAGCTAGGTGGACGCGTGGCTCTATGTCCAGGGCCCATTTCGGCTATTCTACGAGGATTGTCTCCACCAGAGGAGCTCCAGGCCCCGATGGGCTGCAGGGGGAGATCGCGGCTGCCGCCCCCGAAGAGCACGTCGGGGCGCGCCGCCCCATCGCGGTTGAAATTAGATTTGCTCTGACGGGGGCCTGCTCAGTGGAAGCGCGGTTCCATCGCTGTCGCTGGTAGAGGGAGGGGCGACGCGAAGTGTGCCGAGGCTCAGAGATGCGTGCGTCGGCGCAATCAACTTGTCAAGTTTCCCCGCGCCGTCGCCAGACAGACGGTGCAGAGGCGCGTTGCCTGGTGCCACCTGCAGTCGAATTGCGGGGGGGCCCTGGGGGCGTCCACGGATATTGCTAGCCGCTGTGTGAGCGTTATGCTGGGCGCGCAGGCCTGCGCGCGCGTCTCGTCGCCTGTGCTCCCCGTCGGCCTCGCGGCCGCCTCGCGCGAGGTCGTCGAGCAGTTTGTTGCGCCCTTGCTCCGTGGCCGCGACGACCTCGCGCAGGCCCTCAGAGACGCCGAGTTGCCGGGCGCCGCCGCGGCCTCGGCGCGGGCGCGCCCCCAGAGCGCTTCCATCCTTGAGCGCGAGATCACCGATGAGCATCCGGCGGCGCTGTCGAGGGGGGCCCGGCATGGGGGGTGGAGCCCATCAGAGGGGCCGGCAAGTTCGTGAAGCCAGTGCGCGGCATTGGGCCGGGCGAGACTGGAGCTGCGGATTTTGCCCATGCGTCCTTCGCCCCCCCCATCAAGTATCAAGTCGCTCGATAGTCGCACGGCGGGCGATGGGCTTGCTTGGCGGTCCTGGGCCAGAGGCGGAGGGCAAGCCTTGTTGTTCTCTAGGGAAAGAGACTGGTCAGGATGCGTGGCGTTGCGCTCCTCGTCGATAACCCTGCGATTGCCGGGCGGGGCCCTCGCCCGTGTGATCTCCTGGGCTGCGCCTCCAGGGCGCCTGGAGTTCGGGCATGCCGGCGCCGGCAGCAGACAAGTTCGCGCGGGCCTCGCCTTGCATGGGGGTGCGGGCGGTCGAGGGGGGCAGGGGGGAGTTGCCGCGGTCTTGGGCGCGGGCAGAAAGTTTTGGGCGGCGAGGCCGCGCGGCCGCCAGGGAGCCTCTCTCGGGCAGGTTCCCAGGGTGTCGGCGGTGATCGCGTCGAGACCGACCGCCCCAATCTGGGGCTGCCGTTGACCAGCCACCGGGCCGAGAGATTCACAGCGGAACGTGTGCTCTTCAAGTCCGACGGGCGTTCGCTTGCGCGCCGTGGCGCTATCTGCGGCGAGGCCCCGCCTGTCTCGACCGCCCGCTCCGCTCCGCCACCGAAGCTGCTGATTGCTGCCGATTCTCTCACGGGCGGTCCGAAGTGCTGGCATTCCTTTGTCTTCGATGACCGTGGCTCGTTTCTTTCGCGTTGAATTATGAGTTTCCTGGGGCTGGCGCCCCTGGGGACTGGCCTCAGGCCGCTCGTGCTTCTCCTGGTCACCTCCTCGTTCCGGTCCAAGACGCGGACCTGCTTTGCGCATTATTCCTAGCCGGGACCCACTTGACCCATGGGCTCCATCGAGAGCTGGCTGACGTCAGCAAAAGAACCGAGATTGAAACGCGCGAGGCGCGCGGGCGCCCCAGCGAGGGCATTTATTTCTGTTGTGCGCGCGGTTTCTCCCTTCGCGGCCCAGGCGGGCGTTTGCCGTCCACGCGGGGCAACGCCGCGAGAGAGAGGAGAGCATTTTCGCGTGGGCTGTCGGCGCGGTTTATCCGGCTTGTTTCCCTGAGTATCGCGCACTTGTTAGGCTCGCCAAGCATCTGGCGCGCACCCCTGTTCATTGCTTAGCTCTGACCAGGGGCAGCGAGTCACGCATCACATACTGTTTTAAGTGTCTGGGATCCTTTCGAAGTTTCTGGGAGCTGACCTCTTCAATGGCCCTGGTCCGCGCGTCGCGCCGGCGTCGCGTTCGCAATGCCATGGTTTCTAGCTGCGAACAAGGTCGCGCCAACGTCGGGCGCCCCCTAGGCTTGGCAATGGTTGCCGCTGCTTGGCAGCTCTGTGCAGTGCTTCGCGTAGCTCGGCATTGATCGGCAATGCTTGGCATTTCTCAAGGACGGACTCGGTGGCCCCCGCTAAGATCGAACACCCCAGAGCATGTCGGGAAAATGTCCCGGAGGGGGCAGGAGGAGGAACATGTCCACCAAATGCCGAAACATCGGGACATTTACCAAGAGCGGCGGGGGGGAGGGTGAAGGGGAGGGAGGAAAAGGGGAGGATCATGACGATGGACTCATGCCGAAAACGTCCGCACAAGGACTGGGACGAGGGGGAGGAATAACGGATACCGAACATTCGCTTGCATTCTCAACGGCGGAAGCGGGAGGGAGGATATGTCGCGCAAGTCCCGTAAAAAAATCCACGAGGGAGGGGAGGAAGACGAGCTGCCATAAGACGGAGCAGTACGCATGGTGACGGCCAGGAGATCCCGAACATTTCGAGACTTCATGTTCACGGAAAGCGGGAGGTGCGGCGGAGAACGGGATAGTGGTCGAACAGACATCGGCGTCCCAAACCGTCCGTCCTCTTCCTCCCCACAGGAGGGGGGAGGAAGATGGCGGAGGATTTTCCTTGAGTTCTTTCGCGGCCCTCTCGGTGCCTTTTCTTGGGGTTATTTGGAGGGTTTGTGGATTATTTTGGTATTTTTGTTGGGTGGTTTTGGGTCTCTCTTCGGGCGGTCTTTGGGGCCTATTGGGAACCTTGGACCTTGGAGGGGCGTTCGGGGCAATCTTTGAGGGCGTCGTTCCAACTAGAAGGGGGTCCCCGAGTGGTCCCCCCCTCGGGGGCCATCAAAATCGCCCCGTGGAGGCCGTCTTTGGGGCCTCTTGGGCATTCTTGGGACCCTCCAGAGGCCCCCGGGATCCGCATCGGATGCGACAGGGCGAAAATGGCACACACCATTGATTTCCATGTTGTGCTTCATGTTTTTCTTCATAGGATGCTGACCTTCAGGGGAAGTCTTCAGCGGGATCTGAGAGCACCCGGGGCAGTCTTGTGGTCCTCATTAGGGCCTCTTGGAGGGATGCCGGAATCCATCTAAAACATTTGCTATTGTTGAACCATCTGGGGGGGGGCATTTTGAAGCAACGGGGGCCCTCTTGGAGCTGTCGTCGGCACCCTGACGGCTCACGACCCCCCCCAAAAAAAGAAATCCCCCCAAAGGTGAGAGGGTGCTGGAAGAGGAATTACAATTGCCGCCAGACCACACAAACCCAGAGGGTTGGTGGGATTTTTCCATTCCCATCCCCCCGTTCACTCCTCCCTTTCCCTTTCTCCGCCTGCTGATTGGCTCTCTCGCTCCCTCGATCCCTCTCCCTTCTCATCCCCCATCCCTCATCCATCCTCTCCCCGCCCCGGAGGATCAGGAGGAGGAGGAGGAGGAGGAAGGGGAGAAAAAGGAGGAGGAGGAGGAGGAGGAGGAGCCCTCCTCCCCAAGTGGGCCCGTCCACGTGCTTCCCTGGTTTCTGTGTGCGGGGGGCCCCTGCCTATGGTGTTCTGCTCGCCTGCCCGTTCCCCCCTATACCTTGAACCCTTCGGGAAGCGAGCGTAACTGCTCAAGTAACTGCTCAAGATGGGAGGGGAACCACCAGGACCCGAGAGTCGGCGTTTACTACAAGGCCTTGGGAGTTTATTCGATAGCCCCGCACTGTTGGATTCCTCCTGTGGGTGCGCTCACCAAACGGCTGCGCGTGTCGGGGTGATTACTATCGGGGTGGAGCTTCTGCCCTCTACATGCCGACTCGCCCCTGAGTGCAGAACCGCCGAGGGCCAGCATGCGGGCCGGGCGCTTCAGGCCTTGGGGGCGGGTGGGAAACCTCCCCGAGCCACTGCTCCCAGAGAGACGGCCCCCCAGTCGGGGAGGCTCAGGGAGGCTCACGGGAAACCTGCGCCGCTTCTCCCCATTCGCCTCGGTTCCGGCAGCGCGCGTGCATTGCAGGTCGCCCTGCGCGTGCGGAGTTTGCATAGGCTTTTGTCGGCTGGGCGAGCGTGCCGGCCCGCTGTCTCAAGCAGCCCAGGCCAAGTGCCCAGGGCAAGGGACGTGCGCGCAATGGCACGCCAAGTCAGTGGCAGCAGCACCAGCAGCAGCAGGAGAAGGGCTGAAGGAGGGAGAAGCGACACCGTCACCAGCAGGCCACCTCCAATGAGGGGGCCCACGATGCCTCCCCGAGGTGGAGACTGGAGATGTCTCGAGCAGGACGCCACAGAGCGGGGAGACCACACCACCAGCAGAACCCTCCCTCGCTCCTCGCGGTGGTGGTGGTGGTGGTGGTGGTGCCGCCTTCGATGGCGCCTAGAGGAGGGAGGCGGGCGGGAGGCAGGCGCCCCGCCCTCGGTCGAGGGGAACGCCGGGATCTACTGCGTCTGCGAGATACCCGGCAAGCCGCACACCAGGTTCCAGACCGGCGTCGCCGACGACGTCCGCAACCCTGCGTGGGCGCCCAGGGGTGGGTGGGAGAGATCATCCCTCCGGAGCTTGGCTTCTGTTTCACGAGGCCTACGGTAGGTTCGCGTCGTGTCGACCGGCGGCGACCCTGCCAGCGGCGTTCAACTTTGAACGCCGCGGGCGACCCAGAATCGTTCGATGTTGAACATTTGGACGTTGCGGAGACGGCCGATCGTTCAAGGTTGAACGATCCCCGCGGTGTCAAAAACCAACGCCGAAGTCGGCACGACACGGACCTGCCGTACGAGGCTTGCGCACGTCCACCGAGCCTCGCACAGCCAAGGCGCTGAAGTACGGACCGCGTTGGGTCTGCCGGCCGTTCCCCGAGAGCTCGGTGGGGGAACCTATTCGTGGCCGAGGCTCGCCGTGTCCAGGAACGGGTCTTCGTTCCCGACGTCGCGTTCTCTCTGTATGTGTTGTTTGCCGCTTCCATCGTGCTGCCCTCGTGCAGTTGTTGTCGATTCGTGCTCCTCTTCCTCTACGTCTGTTGCGCGGCTTCTCTGGGGCCTCGTAGAGGCCTCAAGGAAGGCCTGTTGGAGCATTTTCAAGGTTCCCGGAGGCTCATGGGTCATGGGGCCTCTCTTGTTTTCTTTGGAGGGCTCTTGGGGGCAACATTGTGGGTCTTGGGGGCAATTTTGTTGGGAAGGGCTCCCGAGGTCCCTGCGAGTTCTCTCTCTGAGCCCTCTGTGGGACCCCTGTTCAGTAGTCTGCGGCAAGGCCCGCCACCGTGCCAGTCCGGCAGTTTCGGTTGCAGTTTTTCGAATCGATGAGGACGACGGTAATGACGATGATGAGATCATGAAGAGGATAATGAGAGTATGCGGAACATTGTGGTGGACGATGGGAATGTTTAGTATGATGTTTATGGTGATGGTAGTAATGATGATGTTGATGATGTGGAGGCTGAACAAGACAAGGGCGAGGCCGCTGATTGTTCTGATGCTGAGGAGGAGGAGAAGGAGCAGGAGGAGGAGGATGACACGGGCGAGTTTGTTGTGACGCAATAAGCGGTGCAGGAGCCCCGATCTCGGAATTGTCAGAAGCCTTGTTTCATGTATGTTTGGGTCAGGAGAGTTTACAGCTCAGTGCATCATGTAGTTATGTGTTGCCAACCTTTTTTTTACAAAGGGGCATAAACTTGAAGTATACGTAGCTTATGTCTGGGCTAGTTGTACAGCGTTCAAGTACCGATGCTACAACGGCAAACTGGTTCATAACAAAGTTACCCAGACGATAGTCATAAGGCAGCGGCCGATTAGCCATGATGCGAATTACGGGCTGGAGCCGTTACCTGCTCATTTGTTCGTTGTGAAGATCTGAAAGATTTTCATCGCAGTTGGGACACTTTGCAGAAATCGCGGAAAATACGCAATGCTGGCAACATAGTTAATGTACGGTTTGAATCAGTTGCAAGACAGTGGCGGCGCGTGGAGATTTTGTTGGGGTGCGCGCGATCGGTTCTGTGGTTCGCCTCACGGCTGCCACCCCCCACCCGTCCCCCCACCCGCTGGTAGCAGCTTGGGTGCACTCCTCCCTTATCGCCCCCCTCCGCAATCCTCCCTCCCTCCTCCTTCCTTCCCCCCTTCCACCACGCGCCTTCGTTGGTCCCCGATCGTCGTCGCCCAGGATGCCCGATGCATCCGTTGAACTCCCGCCCCCCTCCCACAAAACCTTTTTTTCCAACATGTCCGCAATGCGCGAGAGAGGTGACACAGAAGCACACTCTTTTCCGAACAGTTCTAAGTCGTCGTAGAGTACAGCATACTTCCGAATTGGAAATCACAGATTCGTCATGTGGGGTATAACACAGGGTATCATCAGGTACCACCCTGGGAACCACCATGTACCTTTCTATCGGAAGCAAAATGGTACCACCGCGAGCATCGCCCTCCCAAAAAGGTATTGCCACTTTTAGAACCGTGCAAGGACCCCCTCCATTTTCGGCCAGGCCATCGCGTGCCACCCAGAGTGTCGCAAGGAACCACTCGGAAACCACTTCGCCTGTCTCGTTTTTCCCAGCCTTCCTATTATGTCGTTTTGTGCTACACCTCCTTTCCCTCGCTATCTCCAGCTGAACAGTTTATTCCGTCACATGTGGGGGCCATTGCAGTGGGAATGGCGGGGGAATGCGTGCGGAGTTCAGTTGCGATGAGGCGAGTCATAGCCGATATCGCTGAACGATTTATACTCGCGCAACAGGAGCAGGAGGAAGAGGAGGAGGTTAGCGGGATGGTGGTGATAATGGCGATTGTGGTGTTGATGGCGAGAATGTTGTTGCGGATGTTTTTGGCGATGGTTATCACGATGACGAGGATGTTGTTGATGACGATGTTCATGTATGACTGATGGCGGGCCAAAGGCAGGCACCGAATGCTCGAATGTTCGGCATCGAGAGAACTCATATTGCAGCGGGCATCGCCCGACGACCGAGGGTAAAATAGTTATGGCACGGCTGGGGGATAGATTCGAACAGGCATGCCACGGTTGTGATATCTGTATGTTCAGAAACGTGAGTTTTGGGAAGGTATGATATGTTCGGACGCCCGCTGTGAACGTTTGAGTCTGGTTACCACTAGACGCAGGGGCGCCCCGTTAATTCAGTTCTCAAGATAGAGCCGAATCAAGTCAGAAGCCGCGCATCCTGGAACCTGCTGCAGCACGCCTTGGGAATGGTGAGGGGGTTCCCGGCGCGCCAGGCAATTTTGCGCGGCAGGAGCAACGGCGGAGTTAAATGCATCGGCCCGCCGCCCGCGCATCCCGGCGGGCGCGCGGGCGCGCGCGCCCGTCAGGGCAATCGGCGATCACGCCGCGCCGCGAATGACGCCGTCCCAAACGGAGACGCGCAGCTCCTTCACGGAGTGCGCCACCTGAGATTTGGCAGATACCGCGCGAGAGCACCCCCCCCCCCACCCACCCAGACCCCCGCGCGAAGCAGGGGCAGGTGTGAGATTTTATTCGCGCGCCCGACGCGCGGAACATCGCGCGCTCAGAACATGCGTGAACCACATACAATGCATTCTTATACTTGTCAGGTGGGAGGGAGCATGCCCGCTTGTGGGCCGTCCATCTTTCGCCTGGAGATGGGGTGAACATTGCGGCGTGCCCAAATCGATGTCGTTCGATTGATCCATTGGTTCCCCCGCCCGCTCCGAAGATGGCTACGCGGCGGGTTTGCCGCGCGCGCCGGCCAGTTCGATCGCACCATTCTGCGCGCAGAGGGCCCGCTGTCGGAGCGAGGCGGCGGTGTTGAGTTGTCGGGTTCTTGCTCGGCGATGGCGGCGGCGCGGATAGTCTGGCGTTCGGTCGCGACGCGACGAGCGCGCCCCCGCCCTTTTTTGCGCGCGAGCACCGCGCGCAATATCGCGCGCAGGCTGGCGCCCGAATAAGCGCTACAATTCCGAAGGAAGCAGTCCAACATGGCGCCGCGCGTCAACGGGCAGTGCGCGGAAGCGGACGCGCGCGCTGAAAAAAAAGGGGATCCTTGGGGGGCAGAGCTGCGCTAGAAGAGCTTCGGCTCGCCTCGCGGCGCCGCGGGCGCGCGGGGGCGCCCCTTGCTCTGCTGCGGCGAATGATTATTTGTTGAGCTTCCTGCCCGCGGGGCCATGAGTTCGCGCGCGGCGCGTCGAAGATGGCAATTCGGTTCCTCCCTGGCGCGCGCGCTCCGATTCGGGGACTTCGCTGGGTCGGGCTCGGCGCAGCTGAGATTTGGGTGTACGCGGGGCTGCAAGTTGAAATGCCGATTCCGTTTGTTTTCTGACAATTGGCCACAGTTGGCTGCCGTTAGTAGAATAGCGCGCAGCGCGAAGTTGAGCTGCGCCATCAGTTTGCACTGGCGCGGGGGCGTGCGCCCCATGCGCGCGCGCTCGCGGGCCCCCCGCTGGGATGGGTTTGGGCGCGCCGTTCGAAAGAATGCGACTGGCCGCGGTGATGGGCGCGCGTCCGCGTCTGCCCTATTCACATCGTCGTCGGCGCCTCGCAGCCCCCCCGCCGCCGTCGGGGGCGCCCGGCAGTGCCTGGGCCCCGCCGCCGCCGCCGACTCGCCCACCGCCGTTGCGAATCTGGACGTGGCGTTGGCCTCCCGTCAGTGCCGCCGATATGGGGCACTCCAGATGATGATGACGATGATGGTGATGACGATTATTTCGATGACGTTTACAATGGCAATGGCCATGGGGCCATCATGGGGGTCTTGGACCGATCGTTCGGTGATTCGAAGCCTTCTTTGGACGTCGCGAGGGCCTCTGGGGCCCTGTTGGCCCGTCTCGGGCTTCTTGGGCACGAAAATTCCATGCGGGGACATTCTGGGGGCCCCGGAAGGCGCGCGGGGAGCCTCGAGAGATTTGGGAGTTTGGGGTCCGGGCCCCGTATGAATCCTCAGGCTCGAGGACTGATGCTCAGGAGAGTGCGCCGGGGTTTCGGGGGGGGGGCCTGCCGGGGCTTCTTTCGGGCCCTGGCGGCTTCCTGGGGGCCTGCGAGCCCCGCCGCCCCCGAGCATTAAATGCGTCGGGAATGGCGCCCCCCTCCTACCTTGCAGAGCGAAGCTCGAGCGAGCTCAGGTCCGCTCTCTTAGAAGCTCACGCGCCGGATCGGCGGATTTTTTTGCTTCGCTGAATTTCGGACGGCCAACGACGGCCCTCGGTTAGGCTGGCGTCGCCGTTCGGCTGCGTGCTGCCTTGCAGTATTGGAATGGAGAGTCGTGCTCGGGCTGGCGAGGGCCCAGCTGGCGACGCGTCTCGCCTGGGCCCGGGCTCTGGATGCAAAGAATGCAGCTGGGGGCCCAGCGCGCGAGTTAAGTGAATATTTGAATGGTGGGTCGGGCTCGCGGCAGAGATGAACGAGACCGTCTCGTCTTGGATCTGGGCGCGGGTTTGGATGGCTGTTTCGATCGGTGCGGAGCCGATGGCGACGGCGACGGCGCTGGCGACGATGACGACGGCGGCGGCGACGACGACGACGACGACCAGGCCGATCTGCCAAGGCCGCGTAGGAGC